AACAAAAAATATAACAACAATGATATTTAAAAAAAAAGTAAACAACAACAAAAACAACTAAAACACGGTGGCAAAGGTATTATATCTGTGACTCATCTAAAAAAGGGTAATACTAAAGCAAAATTATTATGGTACTAAAATTTTCCTTTCCTGGCTTGGTATTAACTAGACTATACAGATGAAGAAATTATAGAGAGACAAGGAGAAATAGGTCTAATACCTTATAATAGAGGTCATAAGTTGAAAAATAGAGCAGATTTAATAGATGACAAATCAAGATTAAAAGCACCATATGATATTTATCAAGACATTGAATATATCGACACGCCAAATAATCAAAGGTGTCCTATAATCCACAGGTTTCCCAGAAATTCTATTTTGAAAGCAGTCGAGTATTATGATGACACAGAATTCAACCCTTATAAAGATATTAATGTTGGAGGTTTGGGGTTTTATTTTTTTAGAAGGAAAAAAAGCCAATCAATTAATTATTAACCAATTATTAATTTATTTTGTTATATTATTAGAAATTCTTGGGCCATTAGTGAAATTAGAAGATGTTATTAAGAAACCACATTATAAAAGGATTTTAAATGACAATTCATTAACACACTGTGCTGATTTCTTAATGGAAAGAATTGAAACTGAGAAAAATTTCAACAATATAATTAGTAGATTGATGACTGTGTTGCAAGGTGATGAATACTGAAGTTGATGATGGGGATGCAAAGTGCTAACTGATGGATCAACATGATGATGATGGTGGTGGTGGTGGCGAGAAGAAGGTATTGGTGAATATTGCATTAAACCATTATTATTATTATTATTATTATTATTATTATTATTATTATTATTATTATTATTATTATTATTATTATTATTATTATTACTACTATTATTATTATTACTATTATTACTATTATTGTTATTACTACTACTATTATTGTTATTATTAATTGCTGATAAATGAGGACCACGTGGTGATAATGCAGAATGATCTAAATTGGCAAGAATATTGTGTGGTAAATTTATTGTTGTATTTGATTGACGCGGTGACTGATGTGGGGTAGGATTTTGTTGATAACGATTTGTAACATTAGTAGTATTATTGTTGTTGGTATTGTTGTTATTGGCAATCCCAGATGTTTGAACTGGTGACAATCTAGAACTTGGAATATTTTGTCTTCCCGTATTGTTATTAGAAAATATTGAATTTCCAGAGTTGGTGGAGGATATGATTGGTTGAATGTGAGTGTTATTGGTGTTGTTAGTATTATTGGTTGTAATGATAGATGGAAGAGGTGGTTGTAAAAGCATTGTTGGATTTTGAGATTGTTGTCCTAATGGTGAAACATTTGGTTGAAGAGAATTTGAAAATAATTGCTGATGTGGTTGTATGGGAACGTTTGACAAATGCCTTAAAGGACTATTATTATGATTATTATTAATATTAGAATATATTTGTCTAGAAGAGTATGAAGAATGTTGTAATGAACCTTGTGTTGAGGGTTGACGAGAGGAGAGTCCTTGTACGTTGACATTATTAGTAGAGGTAGTAAAAGTGGTTGCTGGTTGAATTGATTGCAGTTGTCTTGAGTTTTGTAGTAAGAACAGCGAAGATCCTCCTCCTCCTCCTCCTCCAATAATTTGTTGCTGCTGTTGATTATTGTTGTTGTTGTTATGAGTGTCTTCTTGCATTGTTTTCTTTAATGATAAAATACCACTATATTGTATGTGGCATTCTGCAAACAAAAAAACCAGACAAAGTGATGAAAAATTTGCTAAACGCCACAGTTGTACTACTAACATATATTTGTTATAATTCATCTCATTGGTCAACCATATTTGTGGCTAAACAATTCCGACTTGTCCAATCAAATTTGAAATCACACAGCGTACAATGTACAAGTCATTTAGTCCCGCAACTTTTTATTGGTCGTGTAATACCAAAAAATAAATCGTGCTTTTTGAAGCCAAGGTTTTTTTATTTCTCTACGATTTCATTTTGTTGATATTAATGTCATATTGTTGTGGAGGGTTTGAACCTCAAATTTGCACAAGTTTATCGAATTTACTATATATGTTCAGCTCTAAAATTAGCGCGTTACACGCACGCATAGAAAAATAAATAAAATCGCTAGAACTATATTTGATCGTGTGACCTTACCTAATATTTTTCATGGTTATGACATAATCTAAACAATATGTCAGTGATCATCATATTGCATATTTATATGGGGTCTGTACTAGGAAAATCAAGCTTCCAGCTTTTTTTTTTTTTTTGTCTTTTTACTCAACAATGATCTCTAATAAAGGATTTACAGTTGGTGAAAAAATTGGACCCTGTTTGCATAGTAGAAAAATGAGATACAAGGCTTGGAATATTTTCTTTATATATTAAAAACATATGTGTAACCAAATTTATAAGGGTTGTTACTAAAAATAGATTTTTTGTCTGGAAGCTTGATTTTCCTAGTACAAACCCCATATAGGAAAAATTCGATCGCAAATTAAGTTTTTGTACGACGTGTTATTTTGATAACATTAATGATAATATTATATTATTACCAAATAGCACATTACTAACTAGTATTACTTATTACCAATACCATCGTTGCTACTTTGTTTGGTAAACATTGTGTGTTTATTTATAGCATATATTTATTTTTGTCAAGAAAGTTCTTCAGCTTGTTTAGAGCTTTGTACCTGTGCGAGATTGTATTTTTAATTTCTTTGGGCATCTCCGCGTATCTAATTAAAATTACAACTATTGGAAAATATAAAATTAAAAGTTATTAAGCATAAATTAAACAAATGAATAAATTGTTAACACAACAACCAGGTTAATTCTTTCTTTCGAATATTTGTTCATATAAAAAAAAAATAAAAAAAGCCAATTCATTCATTCATATTCATTCATCAAACAAAGCATATTGAACAAGCGCAAACACAAAAAAGAAATAATAATCAAATGATTAAAGCAAATAAACTAACAATAATAGCAAAAACAAAAACAAAAACAAAAACAAAAACAATGACGATGACGATGATGATGAATTACGTTTTATCAAACCCATCAGGTTGAAAGATAGGATCCCATCCAAAATTATTTGGGCCTCTTGCTTCCACTATTTTCCCCTGAATTATTATATAATATATGTTAACGAAATTAATAAATAATTGTAAGCATGATATTTTGAATTATTTACATTGGTTCTGCCTTCAAATAATATTGGTTCATCGTTTTGACCAGACGAGTAAGCAAAAGTACATAAAGCATATGCTGATTTATCCTCAAATCCTGATAACATTTTATTCAATCCATCATGTCCCAACTTTTCTAAAAACCATTTACTTTGTAAAATTATTTTAATTAACCAAACTAATTTCTTTATAAATAAAAACCACCATTAAATAAGATAAATTTCTTACATGTATGGACCTGGAAGTCCTTCTAGTGCATTAAAACACAAACAAGTATCTTCAGTGATGACTGGACAATTCAACTATTGAATTTAGCAATAAATATATTATTAACCAATTATTAATTGGTTAGCCTTCTAAAATAATTAATTCTTCAATCAATTATATCAATTATTGTCTTCTAGTCATATACATACAACGATTGATGCTCTTTTACATTTGTCCTTGGATACTTCTTGTGACGTGCCTTGTATTTCTGTCACTTTATCCACCCACCCATACATAATAATGTTAATTAATTTTATAAATAATATCACTCACTTTATCACCAAGATTCAAGATTATTATACTCACAGTCAAGTTTGTGACTTGATAAATCAATGCTTTTTCCAATAATTGCTTGAACTTCTTCAAGTTTTTTTTTATTTCCAGTGACAAATACTAATAATAAATTATCAAATAAAATATTGTATTAATATATATAGATTATAATATACATGAATAGTTATCGCTTACTTAATCTATTATTCGATGCCGCCATTAATTTAATAAATATGTATGTACTGTATATATTAATATATAATTAAATAATTGACGATCCGTCTATGTTGTACATAATATTCGTGTGACATATATCCCCGAGGCATT